CCATCCATCTAACCATCTATACATCCATCCATCTAACCATCTATACATCCATCCATCTAACCATCTATACATCCATCCATCTAACCATCTAACCATCTATACATCCATCCATCTAACCATCCAACCATTTATACATCTGTCTATACATCCATCCATCAAACCATCCAACCATCTATACATCCATCCATCTAACCATCTATACATCCATCCATCCATCCATCCATCTAACCATCTATACATCCATCCATCCATCCATCTAACCATCTATCTAACCATCCATCCATCTAACCATCTATCTAACCATCTATCCATCCATCCATCTAACCATCTATCCATCCATCCATCCATCTATACATCCAACCATTTATACATCCATCCATCCACCTAACCATCTATCCATTGACTGGAACCATGATTTTCATCTTATTTATTTATTAGTTTATTTATTAATTATTTTTGTTTTTTGGCCTTGAGCTCATGTGGTTCCTGTCTCATCCTCAGCCTGGTAAAGAGTCCCTTCTGTTCCCGGTGCTGGTGGTCTGCAGGGTGGTGTTCGTCCCCCTGSTCATGCTGTGTAACGTCCAGGATCGTTACTACCTGCCTGTGTTCTTCACACACGACGCTGCGTTCGCCTTCATCATGGCTCTGTTCTCCCTGTCCAGTGGTTACTTCGTGTGCCTGTCCATGTCCTACGCTCCACAGTGAGTATCACACATCTGATCTGCAGACTCTGTCCGACCGGTTCTGTTGGATCACAGCCAACCACCAGAACAGTGTGTCTGTGTTGGAGTCTGTAGTTAGAATTCCTGTCCTCAACACTCGCAGCCACAGGCAGCTAAAGTTAGTTTACYATGTGACACTCATCAGCTGATTGCTTTTGTTCTTTATATAAACTGAGTCAGTTATCCCTACAGAGTCTTTTAATAATGACAACAAACACGTTTGTTTTGAACTGGTGTCCTGCCCAGCTCCAGATACTGATGTGCTGCTGTCAGGGTTTAGTTCAGAAGTTGATCTTTGTTTAAACTTTATACATTTATCAATAAAAAACCTTTGAATCTCGTCAGAAATTTGTATTTCTGTCTGACAAAGGTTTAAAACAGCCAACTCCAGGTGTTTGAGAATGAAACTGAAATCGTTTTATTTCCACATTTTCCCTCTGGTTTCAACATTTTGTATCCCAGCTGAACTGTGAGCAGGTTCATCCAGTCCTGAAGKTCMGTCTAAAGCAGGGCTGTCCAAACATTTTATCACCTGGGCAAAAGTCATAAAGTCAGAAGGACTGGAGGGCCAAAAATATTTTTCCTTTACCTGCTCAACAATAAACTAAGCATTAAATAATTTAATTAAACAAATAAAGGAGTCAGATTTATTGCTGGAAATGGATACCTGAGAGCACCGCAGTCATTGGATGACTTTAAAAAAAAGGCTTGAAGACTTTTCTTTTTAATCAATCCTCTGCATGATTTTATCATTGGTTTTAATAACTTTTAAGAGTTGTAATGTTTTATTATTATTTTTTATTTTTGTAGCACTTTGAGATTTTTGTTAATGAAAAGTGCGGTACAAATTAAATTCATTATTATTATTATTATTATTATTATTATTATTATTATTATTATTATTATTATTATTATTACGTAAATTAATCTAGATCCAGAACTTTGAAGGTGTTTTGCAGGATTTCCCTTATTGAAAGAAATTTAGTAATTTCCTAGGTTTCAACTGGGGAAAAAATAAACCCAGTTTAGTCGATTCTGATCGATAAAATCAGGATTTAGGTCACTCTCGTTGAAAATGCTTGCTCTATTCAGACAAATGTAATAAATTAATTAAAAGTTGTTGTTTTTAAATCGCTTCTTAAGACCCATCTTTTTTTATTTGGCTTTTGTCACAATCTGGGATGTTTGACTTTGTTTTATTGTGTTTTTTTATTTGTGTTTCATTTGATTACTACTTTTTATTTTTCTATTTTATGATTGTATTGACTGTGTGCAGCACTTTGGTCCTGTCAGTGTTTAAAGTGCTTTACAAATAAAGATGGTATGGTAAAAGCAAAATCAGGTTTTGAGTAGAAGTCAGTYYATWGATGTGGAAAAAGATYAGWST